TCCTGGAACCAGAAAATAATAAAGGCACTGATGTGAGATCCACACCCACCATCTTCTGGTTCTCCAATTTGTGACAACATCCCGGACAACGCTTACATCAATCAAGGATTCGAAGAACATCAAGTATAAACTCAGAAACAAAGGACTGTATCAAGTGAAAACATTTACACTTATGGTGAAGTGAAAATGCTTTCAAAGGGGGGAATGATAGTAAAAGGTCTTAAAATCTTAGAAAATTTGGGGACTTAGAAAGAAACTTAGGTTTGGAAGGCCCTGGGAAAAGTAGGCCCTGGGAAATGTTAGGCCTTGTACTTGCTAAAGATCAGGTCAAACTGCACCTGTGTAGTCAGTAGATGATAAATGATACAATTGTTAGATGTGATTTGCCATAATTATTGTTTATAGAACATGAGGAACAATGTTAGGGGGCTCTGGGGGGGATCACGAGAAATCCATGCTTGGGTAAAAACAATGCATACAATAGAACAATGGAAGTTTAATAATTAATATGTAAGTTATATAACGATAGAGTATTAAAACATGTTCAGCTCAAAACAAAGATGGGTCAGATTTGGGTTTGTGTACCCCTGACACCCAGAGCTCTTCAATAAAGCACCTATTTATGATTATATATAATCATTCCGTGATTATGTGTGTTCCTGAACGCTAACAGCTCTGTTCCTCTCTTCCAGCCCTTGAAGACATGGCACATAACATCAGCCCTGCCATCAGAAGCCTGGCAATTCAAAAACTTTGTATCCTCCAGGCAGTAGAGAGAACTCAATATTCCATCTTTGGAAACCTGCAAGATCAGCTCTACATGGCATACAGGACACGGTCTCATCTCTCAGGCCTTGACTGGATGCGCTGCTGGAGCTCTGCTGAGAGATGATCTGGGAGGTTCTGTCTGCTGGGGCCACCTGAGCCAGCCAGAATTTTATTTTTCTTCAAAATTGTTCTTTCCTTATTTTTGTTTTTGTTTAGTATGTAAATATAGGATATGTTATAAATACACAGGCTCCCAGGAGCTTTCTTTTGCTGCCCAAGGTCCGCAGGATATTGGAGAAGAGAGGGAAAAGGGTCCTTGTGCTCAGCAACCTGCTGGGGTGTGCAGTGGTGAAGGGAAAATGGCCAGAAGCCCCTTGGCCTTTGGTGGTTTTGCTGAAGCCACAACCCCTGTCCCAGCCAGGAAGTGCCATCTGTGTCCTCGTGCCCGTGTGGTGCTGGCTGGGTTGCTGAGGGCTCCCAGGTGCTTCTTGATCCAGCTCCTCTAGAGCTCCTGTGGGGCTGCGGCGCTGCTGCTGGTCCACGCTGGGGGAGACTCTGAGGGAACAGGGTGCTGGGAGGCCATGAAGGGATGAGGGGCTGTGGAGGCCCTGACGGGACAAGGCAGTGGGAAGGCACAAGGGGGATGTGTGAGGGAGTGGGTGGAAGGAGGCTCCAAGGGGACAGGAGGCCCCTGAAAGGCCGGACTGGTGGGAAGACCTGAGGAACTGGGTGTCAGAGGCCATAAGCAGCCCCTGGGCAGCCGCCTGGTTCCTGACACCCGGCTGATCAGGCGCTTCCCCAAAATGTCTCCCAGGCCTGCAGCAGAAGCCCTCGAGGCTGGGACACCACCCCTCCAGGAGGGTGGGGACAGCCTGAGGTGTGCCCAGGCTGGGCTGGCTGGGGACATGGAGGGCAGGGGGGTGCTGCCAGGCCACAGCCACTGGGTGCCTGCGATAAGGGGCAGTGGGCAGAGGCAGGGCTGGCGGCCAGGCCGGGCCCTCGCAGCTGCCCAGGCCACGCTGCTGTGACCGAGGCCCCCCTGACACAGAGCTCGGGGCCCGCAGAGCTGCTGCCACCATGGGGAGGGTGGCGATGTCTCCTCCAGCAGGGCTGCCCAGTGGCTGCTGCCCAAGCGGCTGTGGAGCCCACAGAAACAGCAGCAGAGTGTGCACAGGAACAGCAGCACCCCGAACGTCGGCACCTGCGCACTGAGGCGTCCGCAGCAGCCGGCTGCCAAACAGGGAGGCTGTGGACACAGCTTTGGTTTGGCCTTTGGTTTGGCAAAAGGCTTCAGCAGAATTGGCCACAATGGCTTTCTCTTGACTTGCCAGCCTCACAGCAACACTTGGCAGCTTCAGCTGCAGCCTGTGCCCGTGACTGACTTGGATGGCCGTGCTTGAGGGTGGGCTTGCCTTCCACACTCAGGTGTCCCAAGGCAGCGGCCTTGTTGCCATCATGACACAGAGAGAGAGAGACTCAGGACATGAGAACACAGGAATAGCCTGTTTGGCTCATTCTTGAGTTTGCTGCTCCTGCCTAAAATAATCATCAGGAGTATATGCTGATATAAAAGTATAGCCGAACACCAAGGACTTTTTCTGTAGTGTCTAGAACTAAAACCTTCTGTGACTGTTCAGAGACTCTAAAATGCAGGGTGAAAATGACAGCTTTGTATGTAAGAGTCCTAAAAATTTTGACATGTGATTTTTTCTAGTCAAGGATTTTAATTCCAATGTGGAAACTACAAAAAAATATTAAAATTTGTTTTCATTGGCAACCGCTTTGAAATGGCATCAGCACACCTACAGGTGTACTGGGGACAGTACTTGGCAATTCATGGCTTCAGATGTGGGAGATAAATATTTTGCCTGGTTTCACCTTGAAGTTGAAGTTTTCCCAGGGCTTTGATTGACTGGTCATTGCAGGTAACTTTAATAAATTCAAAAGGATGTGAAAGCACAATTTCTGGAGAATATGCACGAGGGGTAGAGGGAAAACCTCAAAAACAGTCAGCAGGCTCTGGAAAACTTAGAAAAAATTAAAATTACAAACATAATGTAAAAATAGATGGAACTCTGTGACTGTTCAAGCAGGACTCTGTCTCTGGAGGAAATGTTTGCCTTGCATCAGCTGTAACACAGACAGACACACAGCAACTGGAGCCTTGAACATCAGAGACTGGACTAATGTTTGTCCCAGAAAAAGACAGAGAAGATCCCACTGAAACAGGACAGTGCCTCTGTACAATCTAGCCATCCCAGGAAACTCAGCAGCTGATGGTGTTTTTGTGCTACTGCACATGAAACCCCTCCCATGAAAAACATCATTCCAGGAAGGAGCAACATCATCTGACAGATCGCAAGAGTGGCCAGCAATAGCTCCAGGAGCTCCTGCACAAGACCCCAAGGAAGGAGTCCAGCCCCCAATGCACAGGGCTTTGGCTTTGGCCCTCTGGCACAGAAACCCCCCAGGGGCACAAGTCTCTGGGGCAGGAGAAGGGCACCAGCACTGCCAGGGCTCGGCTGGGGTGGCAGGTCTGCCTCGGTGGGGACTCTGCCACACTTGCTGATTTCAGTGCTGCCAGGCCCCTGTGCAGATTCTGTGCAAGGCCCCGTGCCCTTCCTGCTGCGGCTGCCTCGGCAGCCCTGGGGACTCCTTCTGCTGCCCTGAGCCTGCAGAGCAGGGCAGCGTTTGCTGATGGTTTGAGGTGTTCCTAAAGATCCTGTCAGGCTGTCTTAGACACTTTGGGCAAGGGATTCCTTCCAACCTGGGCCACTTTGGGTGGGATGGGGGTGGAACCAGGGCAAGTGGCAGGGCGTGCAAGGGCCGTTAGTGACACAGCGCAGCCTGGTAACGGTGGAATGGAACGGTGGAATGGACAAGAGCTGGTGGTGACAAGATCACACCAGAGTGCCTGGTGCATGCGACGGGACAGGAAGCGCCAGAGCGGTGCTGTGAGGAGCCCCCACACAGCCCACTCGTTAGTGCCTGACCCGGAGCTTTTCTGAGGCGTAACTCCTACAGCTCACGTTGTGAGCAGACTGTGGGTCTTGGTGAGCCGGAGCTTTCCGTTGACATCTCTTTAGAAGGTGCTCCCAAGGCCCCATTTTGTCATGGCGGGAAGATTCTTCAGGCTATTCAGAGTGTTCCGACGGAACAGAAAGACAGACCCTGGAGCTGCCCCAGCAGAACACCCAGAAGAGCCAGAGCAGTTCCAGCAAGGGCAGGATGGTGAGTGGCAGAGCTGGGCTGCGGGGCTGAAGCTGCAGCCAGCTGGGCCCTGCACCATCCCATCCCATCCCATCCCATCCCATCCCATCCCATCCCATGTGGACATGCAAGGGCAGGACAGAATTTGGGCTGGGTCTGACCCCTGGCAGTGGCCATGCTCCATCCCCTGAGCCACCCCAGGGCTGTCCCTGCCTGGGGAGTGCAGGGCTGGGCTGTGTTCTCCGGCCTCTCCCGCAGCCCCTCAGCTCTGGCTGCTCTTTGACAGATGCAGCCATGGATGGGACACAAGAGCAGGAGCCCGCCCATGGCCGCTTTCACAAAATGTTGAAGGTACCTGCAGCCATCCCCACCTGGGCTGGGCCTGCTGGCACTGCTCAGCCCAGCTCTGCACTTGCAGCACTCCTTGGAACATGCCTCTCTTCCCTGTCCTTTGTTCATTCTGCACAGAGGTTCCGCCAGTTCCTGCCAATTCGGCGTAGAAAGATCAGCCCCATGGGAACTGAGGGCACAGCTGAGCCTGACTCCGGGCTGACCGAGCTCCAGGCAGAGCCTGATGTCAGCCCAGATTCAGCTGTGCCCTCACAAGACTCTGATGCTGCGGTGAGTGATGACAGGGCAAACTCTGATGTGACACTGACTGAGGACATGGCCATTCCAAACAGCAGAGAGACTCAGGGCATCACAAATACTGACACTACGCCCCCTCCCACCATGAGTCATGCACCTAATACGGATGTTTTTGAAAGGGGGGTGTTCCTTCTGACCAGCAGGTAGCCAGCCAGGGGCCAGAACTGGAGGTCTGCCACGATCGTGTGCCCCTTCAAGCCACATCCACAGGGCCCCCTCAGCTTTTGAGGCCAGCACAGTATGGCAGGAAGGGAAGCACTTCTTGGGAGAAGCTGGGGAAGCTGCTGCCTTGGACAGCGCTCTATGTCTTCCCCATTCCTACTCTAGGTGCCAGCTATTGTACGGAGCATTCACCAGAGTCTTATGTGCTCTGTTATGGTGGATGCCAGGCTGGCCACTAACATCGTGAGGCTGGCTGAAGAACACCCCGACGATGTGGTGCTGACCCTCCTGCGCTGTGCCCCATCGTGTGACAGGTATGGGGCCCACGTGCCTTGAGAGCTCAGGGCTCACCGGCCTTTAGGGCCCATGGCCCTGCACAGCCTGTCCAATGGGCTCTGCCCAACAGGCAGAGAGGTCCAGGACCCTCAGGCCCCTCTGTTTCCTGAGGCTGCTGCCAATGCTCCCTCCCTGCCCCTCAGGGCACTGGGGCTCTGTCACCTGGGACCCCACAGCTACACAGGGCATGGCTCTGTGACTGAGACACCCCTGACACAGAGCTCTGATCCCACAGAGCTGCTGCAGTGATGTGGCAAACCATAGCCTCGTCGGGACCAGCAATGGAGAAGGTGCTGCCAACTCTGCTCCATGTGATGGAGAACTGGCCACTTTGCAGCATCTGCACCTCTGATGAGGACAACAAGGACGTTTTTGCTCTGGCTGTGAGTTTGTGGAACTGGCCTTGACTGTCCCCTAGGTTGCTTCTCCAGCAGCTCTTCATCCTCTCCTTGCCTAAGGCACTGGGCTGAAACCTGGGCTAGGGGCAGGCTCAGGGGGCACTGGGCCCACTGTTCCCCCTCCATCTCCCCTCGGGCTCTGCCCCATGGACGCCTCAGCACTGAGCGCTGTCTTGGTGTGCTTCTTTGCAGGCAACTCTGGTGCTCAGGGTGATTATGCAAGTGCCTCAGCGCCATGAGGCGATAATGCATTATTCCGACTCTCTCTTTACGGCTCTGCTGTTGCACATTTTCACCACCACACAGCTGATGCCAGCAGAAGTTAATAACTTCTGGAGAGAATGCCAGGAGCAACACCACCTTCCCAAAAAACCCAACAGGTGCCAGTCCTCCTGTCCTTCCCATGCCCTTGTGGCTGACACCAATTCACCCAATGTGACCTGGGCTTTGCTCTGCACACAGGTTTGCAGTGCAGGCCATGAAGGCTCTGCTCTGCTTTCTGCACTATGACAATGAGTTGATGGCCATGGAGCGCAAGTGTGGCTGGGAAACGCTGCTCCGTGCTGACACCCAGCACTATGCCGTGGGTCTGTTGGCCAGGTGAGACCCCTTCTCGCCACTGCCTCTGAAATGTGTGCCCTGTGCCCAGGGTGCCCGACCACAGTCCCTGTGGTCCTGGCCAGAGGGCTTTGCCATTGAGGGATGGCTGAGCAGACTGGAGAAGTCTGAGAGGAGGGTGCCCAGAAGGAGCCCCATGGTCCCTAAACACCCACAGTCCCTCCAGGGATGCTGGGGAAAGGCCAGATCTCTATGAGTCATTCCTGGGAGAGGTTTGCCCCCCCCCCACCCCCCACCTCAGTGTCTTGGTGCTATTTCCCCCCTTCCAGGGTGATGCGCCGTGACTTGATGCCCTTGTGTTACCATGTCGCACACCAATTTATCCGGAGGCTCATCGGGGAGGAGGCACGTTGGGATCTGTCCTCCCTGGCATTCCTTGTGGAGGTGAGCCCAATGGCCAGCACTACCTCGCTGAGCTGCCTGCCAGCCCTGTCCCCTTGCATAGCCACAGCTGCCTGGGACGGTGCCCACGCCCTGTGCTGCTGCCTGGGCCCAGCCCTGTGCAGTTCCAGGCTCCTGCCAGCCGGCTCCTCTGTCACTGCCCTGTGCCTTTCAGGTCCTGGATTGCCTGAACTTGAGTGACTGTGGGTACTGTGTCCTTGAGATCACATCAAAGCACCTGCAGAGTGAGTGCAGGCAGAGGCGTCGCCTGGCGCTCAGAGGCCTCGTGGTGCTCAGCAAGGAACCCTCAATGGTGAGAACGGGGCAGCGGCTGAAGCTGTGCTGGGGAAAGCAGCCCCTTGGGCTGGCTGGGCTTCAGGAGTTGAGGCAGCTGTTCCCAGCTCTCCTGCCTCACCTGCCTGAGTGCTTTGGGACAGGCCTTTGGCCTCTGGGCCCAGCAGCAGCAGGGTGGGGTTGCAGTGCCAGGGCAGTCTTGGCGCTGCAGCCGTTCAGGGCTTCCCAGCACAGCCTTGTGTTCCACACAGGCCAGACCAATACGCAGCCTGTGTCGAAGCTTCCTGCAGCTGCTGAGTGACGCAGACGGAGAAGTGGTCAGCATGTCTCTGTCTGTATTCACAAACATGCTCAAGAGAAAACATCTTCGTTTATCAAGGACTGCTGCCCCCAAGCTTGCTGAGCCACTTGTGCTTCTCTTTGACCATGTAAGGCTCTGTGCCCCGGCCACGGGCACTGGCTACTGCCCACACAAACTTTGGTCCTGTGGATTTTCAGGCCTTTGCCCAGGTGGGCTGGAGAAGTTGGCACTGAGATCTTTTCCTCCTTCTTTCCTCCAGGACAAAAGCCACGTGCAGGTGCTCTCCATTCACCTCTTCTGCAAGGCCATGAACCTGGTAGTGGAAGAGGGAAAAAAGGCAATGGAGGGAATTGTGAAGCAGAGTTTGCTCCCACTCATTTTGCACTGCCACGATGAGAACCTGCGCGTGGCTGATGTGAGGTTTTGTGTGATGCTGGTTGATCTCTGGGAGGGGGCTCGGCTGCTTCCTGCTATGCTGCCTCCAGGCTGCAGCTTCCTCCTGGCCTTGGCACAGGGATGCAACTCCTGTGCCCTGGGCAGCAATGCCATCTCTGCATCTCTCCAGGCCTCTCGGGAAACCCTGCACTGTGCTGCCACCTTCTTGAAGAACACAGAGCTCCTGTGTGTGCTGCCAACAGAGGATCTGTCGAAGATCGCCGAATGTGTGGTAAAGGACTGCCTGGAAACCCCAGCCTCAGCCTGGAGAAGCTCCCTGTCCCCAGTGCTCAGTGTGTGGGGCTGGCAGCTGTGGCCCAGTGCTGCGCCCAGGGGAGCCAGCCTGTGCCCCACACGCCGCTCCCTTCCCTGGGCCACACAGGTTCCTCTCCAGGCTCCTGTGGCCCCGAGCCGGGTGCCGATGGAGCCCCAGCCCAGTGGGGCTGCGGGCCGGGCCTCAGGGCTGGGCGGGCACGGGAGGCCGGGGCTGACCGCAGGCAGCGCCCGGCCGAGGGGCAGAGCCCGCACCAACCCTTCCCTCCTGCCACTCTCTGCAGCTGGCACAGGACAGGAACCGAGCAGCCGAGCACCTGAGCCGGGCACTGCCATATCTGGACAGCCCACAGGAGTCCCTACGAGAGGCGGCCGTCAGCTTCATCGGTGAGCCACGAGCCCGGGCTGGCTCCCTGCTCTGCCGCAGCTCGGCCCCGGCCCCGGCTGCTGCCCCGGCAGCGGCACCCGGACCCGGCGCCCTGGAGCCCCGGCTGCCCTCGGGGCTGCTGCTGCCGGCCTCTGGCAGCCAGGCCCTTGGGCTGAGTCAGGATGCGGCAAGGGCCCGGGCTGAGCCCTGCCGGGGCGGGAGGGTGTGTGGCCACAGGGCTGGCAGCACCGCTGGCAGGGAGCTGTGCCTCTGGGGCCCTGACAGGCTCTGTGTTCCCAGGGACGGTCGGGATGTTCATGAACAAGGGTGCACAAGGAAGAGCTGCAGACCCTCAGTGAGGGTGAGTGAGAGCAGCGGGCTGGCACTGGGGGCTGGCAGGGGGCAGTTGCAATGCCTGGGCAGGGAGCTGCAATCCCTGGCCCAGCTGCAGAGTGCTTCGTTCCCTGTCTGGGTGAGGGCGGTGTGGGCAGAGATCTGAGAGATTTCAGGGACATGGGTGGGAGTTGTGGCCAGCACCTTCTGGCTGATCATGTTGTCTGGTCCTCTCTTGTGGCCATTGCAAGAGCCAGGTGGAATGTCCTTGGGAGGAATGTCTCCTAGGATCCCTGCAGATGCGTGCCCTGACCGTGCCTCTCCTCCTCTCTCTTCCAGCCACTGAAGCCCCGAGGAAAGACACCACTCCATCCCACAGCAACCAGAATATCCAAGCTCAGTTTGCCAGTAAACAAGTGTCCCAAGAACAGCAGCAGGAGACACTGAAGAGGACACCACCTCCCAGTGCCACTGGAGATCCAGGCACAGCTGACAACTGGCACAGCTGAGCCTGTGGGATTCTCACGGGGCTTCAGCCCTCTCCCAGCCTGTAGATAGCTCCCTCCAGCCCTCAGACTGTGCCCGTCCCCTTTTTTCCCTCTAATCTTCCTCCCTTTTGACAGCTCCTTCCCTCCAGCCCTCAGTCCATGCCCATCCCCTTCTTTCCCTTTCCAGTTTATCCCTGTTAATAAACAGTTTGCCTTTTTCACTTAACCTGCATCTCTGTGGAGCTGAAGGGTCACAAATCCAGAGCGCTGTGACACACAGGCCCCTCCTGCCGTTCTCTCCTGCACCGTGTTTTGTGCAGAGACGCAGAGGAAGGAGCGCAGATCGGGCTGGAAAGGTCCCTGTGCTGAAGGCCCGGATCCACAGCATTGTGGAGTTCAAGGTGTTACTGAAGGCCAGTAGTGGGACAAGGAGCCTGTGTGTGTCAGGGACCAAAGTTGTGTCTAAGGCCTTGCTGTATTTGGTCCTCTGTTGTGCACGTCAACAGGATGACAAAGAACAGACTTTGAAGGAAACCTTATGGGTTAACTGCTGGGAATTTGACCTCAATGGATTGATCAATTGATGGGAAGTTAACCTGTGAAAGAGGAACAGTAACAATGAGGCTGTTATTGGCATGGTGACCTTACCTCCTGTACTGGCCAAGGGTGAGATGACATGGTAACTGGGAAAATTCCACTCCAGGGGAGAAGAAAGGAGGCTTGGTTCTGCAGTGGAGAGGCGAGAAGGACAAAATGCACGCCTTTTTGATGCAGGGCATGCCCTGAAGGTGCATGGCCTGCCTGCCCCTCCCATTGGAGCACCGTGCTCCATCTGCTGCTGCTGCTCAGTGGCTTTGCACCAATCCAGGGGTTGGCAGGTTTTATTTGCAACAGCAACTAATAAAATAAGACTTGCTTTGCAATTTTGTGCACGGGCATCTTCCAGCACCCATGATGTTCTTGGCAATGAGGATGGGATGCCCAGAGCACAAAAAGCCGTGGTGTTTTGAGCACGTGTGAGTGAAAAATGGACGCATGTTTGAGTGTGGGTAAGAGAAGAGGGACAGGGTTTGGGCAGTGGAGCGTACGGTTGTGCAATATATGTTGGTATAATTTGTGTTTTAATGTACACATATAAAATCAAGTTTAAAAGTATGTTTTATGTAAAATAAAAACCACAAGCAACTTAAGATTGCAAAAGCAGCTGCTGGAAAACCAGGAATTTGCAAGAGAATGACCCAGCAATTAAGATAACACTGAGAAGAGCTGGGTCCACCCAAGCAAGATAAGCGCTCTAACGACCCGGTGATTAACGCCTGATACAGACCTGATGTGATTCTCTAGGACCTTACATCTCAGTGTCGGTTTCCCAAAAAAAACTACAGACTAAAAAAAATCTCACCACGATTCTACATCTCAAAGCCTGCTTCCTGAAAAACCACTCAAACTTCATCTTCTTCTCAGAAAACTCATCAGCAGTCCAGCAGCAGAAATATGAATATGTAACAACACAAGAAAAAGAAAGAAACTGAAACTGCATAGCCTCAAGCTGAAAAAACCTGTATAAAACACCGCTCTCCAAAAGACAAGTTGTGAACTTGGGGGAATCAGTGTGGCAGAAGCTGATTTAGAGTTCACCCAGCGCCGATCCCGGGCTCGACGCTGACAGTGATTGTGGTTGTTTCCATAATTCGATTTTACAGATTTTTCAATAAAATCCTTATTGATAAAATTTGTCTGAATTTCATTTATAACAGTTGCACCCTGAGCGCGGGCGTGTAGCTGCAGCAAGGAAGCAGTGCCGTGGGTGCGTGTGCCACGAGCAGGGCCTGCTCAGTGGGGCACACAGCTGCCCCAGGACAGTCTGTTCCGTGGGCAGCAGATCATGTGGTTGCAATTTCACTGGACAGAGTTCCTGCCCTCACTTCTCTTGTGGGCCTTAGGTTTCCTTGTGTGAGTGCACTGGTAACAATGTTTTGTGAAAAAGAGCCTTGGGGGTGGCTTTGTCAGTGGAGTGACCAGGCTGGATGCAGGAAGCTCCAGGCTGGAGCACATTATGGCATTAGCTAGCAACCTGGACAAGTATTGGGCCTGAAGCATGGGAGGCCAAGGACCTTGGTGGGGTGTTGAAATATTGCAGAGAATTTATAGAAACTCCTCTCCGAGACCCTCTAAAGAGTGGCTGACTCCTGCTGGTCAGATGGCTGGTTGCCTATTATTTGCATACAAAATTGCTGTTCAAGAGAATGCAGAGCTTGACAAACAGGTGAAGAAGATGAAAAAATTGAGGAGCTACAAGCTGGTATGTTGTAACTTGACAAGTTACAATGTCAAGCATTTGTACCTGGTGTGGAACAGGTTGAGCAACTCAGGTCGCTATACCAATGTTGCTGCTTGGCCACCTGTGGCCAAAGGATGGACTACTTT